GTAACTGATAATCGCAGCTTAATGAGCCTAATTAACATAATTGATTTGTAGGCATGTGTCCACCTGGTTTTCAAAGACAGACGTTTGGTTGTCATTCATGTCTGCGTCTTTGATTTGTAATGTTGGACTGCAAATTATTTTATATTGTAGTTTATATTAGCCTAATTCACATGCTGACACTGGTGTAGTGGAAATGGATACTGGGTTAGAGGACCTTGAGCTGAGAGAGTCTCAGAGGGAGTACCTGGACTTTCTAGATGATGTGAATTATTTTCTTTTTGTTTTTGATTTTATGTAGGTCAGTTGGTTTGTGAACACCCTTGCAATCTCTGCATTGAATGTCATTTATAGCAAGACCAAGGCATTTATCATGAAAAGGTCAGGAGTATGGTATCTGACGACCAGTGTCGTCTTATTGTAAACATTAATGGCCTGAGAAGAAAAAGTGAAAAAAAGAGCTAAAGAGTATTTTATTTTAGATATTTTTTTATTTTGAGCCTTCCCACAATTGTCTTGTACCATGAAGTACTTTGTTCATGAGTTTGTCCTCGAAGCTCATCTGATTAATGGTCTCTTTTCAATAGATTACTGAATAATGCTTTTGCTGAGTTGGTGGCATTCCAAAAAGCCCTAAAGGATCTTGTGGCTTCAATAGACACCACTTATGCTAAGCAGTTTGAAGAGTTCCATGTTGGTTTTGAGGGCAGCTTTGGGAACAAACATGTCTCTCCACGTACTCCAAGCGCACGCTTTCTGGGAAACCTTGTGTGTGTGGAAGGCATTGTGACCAAATGTGAGTAGGATTTACTACTTTTTTTTTTTTTTTTTTTTTTACAAATTATCATTGCAAGTTTTTAAGGCTTGTAATTTCACATAGTTAAAAATAATAAAATTTTGTTCAGAATTTCAGGCACTGATTTTTAGATTAATATATTTAGCTCTGAGCTGTTGATACGCACATTTATGATGTGATGTTTACTCCACCTTAATTATCATTATGCATTGTGTTGTCATTTCTAATTTGTAATTTTGATGTGTTCTGTAGGTTCCTTGGTCAGGCCCAAAATTATGCGTAGTGTCCACTATTGTCCAGCCACCAAGAAAACCCTAGAACGAAAATACACTGATCTTACCTCATTGGACGCTTTTCCTTCCAGTGCCATCTATCCAACTAAAGTGAGTTATGTTTTGTATGGATCATATATTTAATGTTTTTATTTTTAATTTATAAAATGTAACATGTATGTAAAATGTAATGTAAAATGTTATTTGCCAAATTAATTAAATTGCATTTTATTTACACAAGTATTTATGTAACTATGTAAAAAAACTGTTAATTTAACAATTTATTTAATTTAACTTTTTATATAACTATTTATTATTTTTCATTTGTTTATTAATCTAATTAACAATTTAAATGTAATTAAATTTGTGTAATTTATTAAACTTCATTTTTATTTATCGAAAAAAGTTAACAATTTGCTTAATTTGAGTAAATATTAAATTAAATTAAAATTAAAAAATGTAATTTATGTGTGTGTGTGTGTGTGTGTGAGAAGACATTCCTAGATCATCCTCTTCTGCTAGTCCTGTAACATGCCTGTCACAGAATGTTGATCCAGGAGAATGTTCTAATTGGAAAAATCCCAATAACCATATCTTGTTGATCACTGATTTAGTATTAAGAATGTTAAGAATCATGAAATAAATTTTGCATGTGTAGGATGAAGAAAACAATCCTCTGGAGACTGAGTTTGGGCTGTGCTGCTATAAGGACCACCAGACGCTGACCATTCAGGAGATGCCAGAGAAAGCCCCTGCTGGACAGCTGCCACGTTCTGTCGACATTGCAAACGATGACTTCGTCGACCGGGTGAAACCAGGTGACCGTGTGCAGATTGTAGGGGTCTACCGTTGCTTGCGAAACAGGGCGGCTTCACCTCTGGGACCTTCAGGTGTGTAAATTTGAACTCTATCCTGAGATCAGGACTGGAACGTCATATCCTCAGATGAATCTGTGGTTCTCTGCAGAACAATCCTGTTGGCTAACAGTGTAAAGCTTATGAGTAAGGAGATTGTGCCAACGTTCTCTGCAGATGATGTTGCCAAGATAAAGAAGTTTTGCAAAGCTCATGCTAAAGTAAGAGGAGGTGCAAACATCTTTATTTAATGAGAGATTTATTCTAAACTTGGCTGCAATTCTTGTCATGATAAACTGGTGCTAATGGTTTCTACAAGGTATTAAGGTGTATGATGCTTTTGGGAAATGCAGCTCTGATGTGTTTCATCTTTGCTATGCAAGGTGAGAGTATTGGTATGTTTCAGGATGTCTTTGAGCAACTGAGTCATTCTTTGGCTCCCAGTATTCATGGCCATGAGTACATAAAGAAGGCCATTCTGTGTCTACTGTTGGAAGGCAATGAGACCAACCCGGAGAATGGAACACGCATCAGAGGAGACATAAATATTTTGCTCATAAGTAAGGTTATAAACGCGTCATGGTTTTGTAAAAATGTATAATAAATCATTTATCTAAAGTCGGGACTTGTTCTCTGTTGCCATTTTAGGTAACTATTTATGGGTTATAAATGTACATGTTTCTTGTCCTATATCAGTATCTGTCTATCTTAAATGTTGAGACTTGAAACATTTAATCCATTAAATTTAATCTCCATTTATATCAATTTAATCCCATTTAAGTTATAATAGTGTGTGTGTGTGTGTGAGAGAGAGAGAGAGAATAAATAAATCTTTATATTATAGTTATTTAATTTATACTTTATTTATATACATTTAATCAATTTTCTAATTTTCCAAATGTAATCCTTTTTTACAAGTAATTTTCGGACCTATTGAAACAAACACTACACATTTGACTGATTTCAGGTGATTCTTCAGTAGCGAAGTCTCAGTTGCTGCGATATGTTTTGTTCACGGCACCAAGAGCAATTCCCACCACTGGATGAGGCTCATCTGGGGTTGGTCTGACAGCTGCAGTCATGACTGATCAGGAGACGGGTAACACTTTAACATGTGATGAAGTCAGTTTATGACAAGTCATTTCACTCTGTGTCTATGCTGGAAATGCCCCTGGCCATTTATTTTCTATTCATACAAGTATTCAATTTATGCAACCCTTTTTTTAATCCTATTTTTCAGGATATTGTTTATAATGTAAAATCTAGAATAAAATCTGACGTTTTCTTAAATTTAGCATGATGAGTTGTTACCTACATTCTATTCTCTGGCTAATCCAGGTGAGCGTCGTTTGGAGGCAGGAGCCATGGTGCTCGCTGACAGAGGTGTGGTGTGCATTGATGAATTTGATAAGATGTCTGACATGGACCGAACAGCCATCCATGAGGTGATGGAGCAGGATAGGGTCACCATTTCCAAAGCTGGGATTCAGGCACGGCTTAACACTCGCTGCAGTGTGTTAGCTGCTGCCAACCCAGTGTATAAGGGTAAATACTGATTATTGGCTTGACTGGTAAAATTTAGTGATAATTTGCTTGCTTAATTTTTTTTATTAACCCTAGTGCATACCTCTCCCAGTATGACCAGTATAAGACCCCAATGGAGAACATTGGGCTCCAGGATTCCTTGCTTTCCCGATTTGATCTGCTGTTCATACTAGTTCTGGATCAGATGGATCCAGACGATCTCGGAGCATGTGCTGCGTATGCATAGCTACAGAGCACCGGGAGAGCCGAAGGGAGCAGGTGAGGCTGACATCTGCTGGTCAAAGCACAAACTGCACTGGAGATGTGTGTACAGTTACAGTAGATCAGTGGTTGAAGAACTTTGTTTTAGGTGGTGGACTGTTTTAAAGGCAGAGTAAGTGATTTCTGGTAGTCAATGTTGATATTTGAAATCACCAAAACAAACACGCCCCTACCCCAAAAGGAGAAGAAGTTTGACCAAACACATACTTCATGCATAGATAGATGGAGAGGGGGGTGCCTTTATTTTTAAATTGCTCGACATTTCTTGACTGTTAAACAGTTTTTACTGCTTAATATATATTTTTTTGACACTACCATTCAAAAGTTTAAAAAGAATTGACTCTTTTATTCAACAATGACACACTGAATTGATCAGTAAAATTATATTGTTACAAAAGATTTAAAATAAATGCTGGTCTTTTTTTAACTTTCTGTTCATCAAAGTATCCTGAAAGAAAATTATCACCTGTTTCTACATTTAATATTTATTAAGAAGCAAAACTTTTTTTTTTTTTTTAATGTACATGTTTTATAATATCTAAGAAATATTTTAATTATATCTGCCTACCTGTGGACAACTTGGAATGCTTCAGCCCACAGTTTGAGACTCGCTGATGTAGACCATTTCCATGTTATTCAGTTTTCTACTTCAGAAGCTTTAGTCAGCTGTTGCTCTCTTTCTGTCATGTCTGTATCAACAGCAATGCCACTGGGGAGTACAGTAGATGTGTTTGCCACTGAGGACCCAAACATCACAGAAGCAGCCGAGCAGGAGCTACAGATCTATGAGAAAAAAGACAATGTCCTGCATGGCCACAGGAAGAAAAAGTGTTTCTTCACTTTGTTTTAAAATCTACAGATTTAAAATCTGACACAGGAGGCATCAGACTACATAGCAGAGGAGTATTCCAGACTCCGGAGCCATGACCAAGTCAACAGTGACTCCGCCAGGGTCTGTAAAGTCCATTTAAAGTGTAAAATCTTGGGTGCTTTTCATGTTATTGTTACTCTTGAATTGCTTGGTTTGATTTAGACTAACTGTAACCATTCCCACAGACGATGCCTGTGACCGCTCGAGTTCTGGAGACCATGATTCGATTGTCTACAACTCACGCCAAGGCCTGCATGAATAAAACCATCGGTCTGGGAGATGCAGAAGCTGCACTTGAACTCAAGAAGGCATGCAATCATTCACATCCAGAACTTATACTGTTATTCACTGTTATGTCTTTTGTGTCTAATGTAATTTGGCATGACTCTGCAGATTCTGGAGAAGGATAAGAGGAGGAAGGTTTCTGAGGACTCTGAGATGGACATCTCTTAGAGCCAAGATACAGAGAGTCAAAGGAACCTAAGGTGAGTGTGAAAGGGAGGTTAGCACTACAGTTAAATCGAGTGTTTGAAGTGGCAGGTGTGAGCGGACTCTGTCTACAGGAAGCGTTCTCGCATCTCTAAAGATGTTGTTGATGATGATGTGGAAATGACTCAAGAAGGAGAGGACTCTGACCCTCACAGAAGATGAAAACAGTAGGTCAACTCATTCACTTCGACTTCTCAGTGAGCTATGCTTAATCAATTATGCAGGTTCTGTCCATTGCTGTACTAAAGTCAATTTAACCAGTTTAGTAGTTTTTTTTTTTTCCCTCTATGTTGAATTGTAATATTTTGAATATACTAAGTGCCATTATAATATGTTGTCTTAAATGTGATGTTGTTGACAGCTCAGCCAATTCAGAAGAGCAGACCAGTGTCTCAGAGAAGCTGTCAAAGAAAGAAGGCTGATATCAGTCAGGACAGGTACAACAGAGTCCTCTTCATTATCAGATAATAGATTCTGGCCTGTGCCAATATTGTGAATTTTTCTGCATTATTCCTCCAATACTTGCTTAGATGTTGTGCTACAATGTTGGACTGGTCTGGAATTTTTTCTGTCATGTTTCTTTGTTTGAGTCAATTCCACAATCTAACCGCACATTAGATATGGAGACTGATTTTCAGTCTTCGAGACCGTTCTACTGAAGGTCTTTAAGGTGACCCGGTCTCAGTCTGTGGTGGTGCCTGATCTTCTAACTCACATTAACAAAGGCCAGGACGAGGATGACAACCAGGTCATGGTCTCAGAGAATGTGGTGTTTCTCATATAGAGCAGTGCCAATGGACAGCTGCATCTCTTGAAAATTCAGGAATGTAAATTACATTGCAATTATTTATAATACAGCACTTTGTTACCGACTATAACAAACCACTAATAAACTGTGTGAGCATCAATCGTTGAGTACTTATTTTGATCAAGTGCTTTTATTTGATTGTTTTACATTTACATTTAATAATTTAGCAGAAGCTTCTATCCAAAGCAACTTACTAACGAGGAATACAGAAAGCAATTCATCTTATGAAAGCAAAGAACATGAGAAGTGCTAGTAATAGTAGTGTCTTGAGAATAGTACAGCAGTTTTATCATGTTGTTTTTTGTTTTGGCACCAGAGAAAGGCAAGTTATGATTCAGTAGCTCCAGCTCAGTAATGACGACACAATCTGACAAATTTTGGAAAGATTTTTTTTTTCTTCATTAAGGGCTTCATTATGTATCCTGCATGATGTCATGGGGATCTTCTAGTCCACTGTCCTTTTAAATGGACATTTGGGGTTCTGTGGGAGAAAATTCAGTTTAATGGGAGTTACTGTACTGTTTAATAATGGTACAATTATTTACTGTGGGAGGAGAAAACTGGTATATGGAAACATACAACCATCTGTCCTCTCTGGCTCAATCTCTCCGTGTCTTTCCATCAGTCTCCTCCTCCTCCGCATGTAGAACATTGCGCCCACAGCAAGACCCAGGAACATGGCAGCTGCCACAAAGACACTTATTGCCACTGTTGCTGTAGAGCTTCCAATGGCGTCATCAATCTCTAATCGCAGGTCTCGGATTTCTGGTCTCCTGGTCTGAGTCTTCAAAAGTCCAGTCACATCTATCATTGAAGTTAAAAGTTAAAACTCTTATCATATTTCATAAGAATTTCACTGGTATGGAATAAAAACGGCAAACCATCAAGAGAGAGGAGGAAGATGACATCATCTCCTTTGATGAAGCTTCGACTCTTCAGACGATCATGTGTGATGTAATTGCTGGTACCGTAACCTGGCCCCCGGTAGAATTTACTGCCATCTGTGTCTGTGACTAGACTGCCTACTTTTCGTGGGTCGTCCCAGAAATACTCCACATTACCCATGGCTGCACAAAGAGAGAAGAAACTATTTATAAAACACATTTTATTGACTTTAAACTCGACATAATCTGTAACCAAGTATCTGTGCTTAGCATATCAGCATTAATGGCTCCTAACAAATTCCTCCTCAACTCTTGGTTTGTATCTTACGGTCAGTGGAGGTCTTGGTTGGATCTGTAGTGATCATCCTAATGTTGTTCATGCGATGTTGGATGTCTGGATTCTGGTCCATCAGCTCCATGGATGCCTGACGCCACGGACATGGCCATTGGAGATTGTCATCGTTGGGTCCAGAGGTCAAGTGGAGGTAGATTGCCATTTTATCTGGACTATCCTTCAAGCCATTAATGTACAAACCAATCTGAAATGAGTAACCATCTGGGGATAGGAGGCGGGGGCTGTAGGTTTTGGAACCGGCAGGGGTTGTAGCGAGAAGGCTGGTAAAATCACGAATGCGCCAAGTGTATTGAGGACACTTGGTCTCTGAGAGGTTGATGTCATCCAGAGACAGACCACTCTTTGATGGTTTTCTTCCTTTAACTCCTTCAAACACCACTCTGAATTTATCAGAGACATCTAGCGTAACATGGTATAGTTCCCAGGAGCCTTGAAGTCCACCTAGGTTGTACAAGTATAAGTTACCCATAGGCTAAAATGATTTATCTATTGGTGTTTTAAACATAAAGAATTATTACCACTGATCTTCTGAATGAGTCTCAGGGCTCCATTGGGGTTTTCAGCAGTGTATTCACGCACCCAGATGTTTAGCTGGTCATCGATGCCCCCACTGTTGTAGTGATAGAACTGCAGGCACTGGGAGCGTCTTTTGGGGTAAAAGAGGCGACTTTCCAGGTAAGCCGTGTCACCCTGGGTTCCTGTGGCTGTGCTGAAATGCATGAAGAACCCAACCCCTGTGGAAGTATAAACTTTATTAGATAATCAGGTATTAAGCCAGTCTTCTCACTTTCTCTTTGGACCTTATTATGGAGTTTAAAGATCATTTTGCATGTCATAATCCTTGACAAGAAACATCTAGAGAAGGTCAAAGAATATTTCCTTAGAGTATCAGTAAAATGTTTATTATGAAGACCAAAGTGCCACCATAATATCATAAAACCGTTATCAATGCAGGATTATGGACTATGAATTATTCAACTTTTTACACAGAGGTGATATAACAATGAATAGACAAAATTAAACAAATAGTCTTCCATGTGACACTGCCCTATTTAAAGGAATAGTTCACCCAAATTCACCCTCATGTTGTTCCAAACCCGTAAGACCTTTGTTCATTATCGGAACACAAATTAAGATATTTTTGGTGAAATCCGAGAGCTTTCTGACCCTCCATAGACAGCATAGCATCTGACACGTTCAAGAAAGGTAGTATGGACACCGTTAACATAGTCCATGTGACATCAGTGGTTCAACTTTAATTTTATGACGCTACAAGAGTACTTTTTGTGCACAAACAAAACAAAAATAATGATTTTTTTAAACAATTTCTTCTCTTTGGTGTCAGTCTTCAACGCGTTCAATAGAGTAGTACGATGCATGGGTGTGGTGCAGGGACGCGGGAAGTAGGGGTGCTGAGGGGGCTGCAGCACCCCCTGTTTTCACATGGTTGCAAATGCAACGCCAAGTTTGTTCCTTTAAATTTATTCAGTTTTAGCATTTAATAATTTATTTGTAATGATCTCTGAAATGTCATCTTCCCGCGCCCCTGGTGTGGTGCTGCTGATGCAGTAGGCCCTTTAGACCCTTTTCACACAGTAATACCAGTAAATTGCTGTAAAATTACCGGAACGACTTTACTGGTAAATACAAAAATGCGCTGTTCACACAGGCAACAATGTTCTTTTTTTATTGGTAATGCGCCATTCACACATAGGTTTCAAAGTACCGGAAAATTCTGAGACATCATTAACCAGAAATTACCTCTAAACAGCTGCGCCTCCTGGTGTTGTGTGTAAACATGGAAGGGTACTGTATATGCAGTCAGTGTTTTTGTTGATGTTTTCATTTTTGTGTGAAGCGTTCACATTCATGCATCACTTTTGGTCCAGAGACATAGAATTAGACGATTTCAACTGAACTACACAGAACAGAATAAATGCGTCATTTGTGTCAGAATGTTATGATTGGCCCAGAGCCATTGAATTTTGAATTTCAATGGCTTTAGATTGGCCCAGAGTACATGTCTTACGTCAGCGCGTTCTGAACTCATACATGCTCATAATAGTAATCTTCATTCTGCGTTCACACACAGCATCGGCAATTCCAGCAATTTACTGGTAATGTTACAACAATATTGCCGGAATGAATTTACTGGTATTTTTGAAAAGGTCCTGTTCGCACATGATCTCTTAACAGTAATTTACTAGTAAAGTCTGTATGTGTGAAAGGGGCTTTTGTAATCATGTCTGATGATTTCGACAGAGAGGATGACTTGCAATTTTTTGCCCAGCCTTACTTATTTGAACCAGAATATACAGGCAATGAACTAAGAGAAATGGACGTTCTACTTCAGAACAGCGGCTCCTGCATCAGCAGCACCACACGCATGCATCGTGATACTCTCGTGAAAGCACGTCGAAGACTGACATGGGAGAGAATAAAGTTGATTTAAGGCAGTATTTTTGTTTTCTTCGCACACACAAGTTTTTTCTTGTAGCTTCATAAAATTAAGTTTGAACAACTGATGTCACATGGAATATTTTAACAATGTCCTTACTATCTTTATGGGCCTTGAACATGGTTATTCAGTTACTCTCTATACAGGGTCAGAAAACTCTTGGATTTCATCAAAAATATCTTAATTTGGGTTCCAACGATGAACAAAGGTCTTACGGATTTGGAACGACATGAAGGTGAGTAATTAATGACAGGTTTTTCATTTTTGGGTGAACTATCACTTTAAGAGAGTCTTTGGCCTAATTTGGTATGATGCGGTAAGACTGCAATGACACATTTTCACAATAGGGTCACAATAGTTAAATAAAATAAATTTAAAGGGGTCATATAATGTTGCTAAAAAGAACATTATTTTGTGTATTTGGTGTAATGAAATGTATTTATGCGGTTTAAGGTTAAAAAAATACATTATTTTCCACATACTGTACATTATTGTTTCTCCCCTATGCCCCGCTGGACTCCACTTCGTCCACAGTGAAAGCCGATCCGATGATCCACAGCGCGAAGTTGATGTATTTCCTCAACGACCAACACGGATCAGCTCCAAGCATGACGAAGCAGATATCGTCCTCTTTTGATGACCCCCTTTAAAAAAAAATCTTTAAAAAATCATATAATGATTCATAATGTTCATAACACTATACTTTGAGTTAAATTACCTTGGCAAACAAATACAAATAATAGTCAACTCTGCGATTTGTGAGGGAGTTTCTAAAACGGTGCTGAGAAAGTGACTGTAAGTTTGACATTTCTCTGTATACTTATCTCTCTGTATTTTGTTTCCTCCTCTGTAAAGTAATGGAAATGCAATAGCAGATTTTTTTTCTTTTGCAGGTGGTGTACATTTTGCTAAAATATTTGCTGTGTGAAAAAGTTCAGTATTCCACACATGACACTCCTGCTTGATGTGACTCGATCCCTCTGTCTGAATATGCCTACTTCCCTACTATATAGTAGATGAAAAACAATATGTGAAAAAAGTAGTGTGTCTGAATTCACTGTAAGAGTTTGATGAAACTTTACTATCCCATGGGGCCACAGGAGAAGATTTGTGAATGGCTGTGAAGTGACAGTGGTAAGGGAGTGGATCTGCAAATTTCATTTATACTACCTATATTCATACAGCGAAAAATAAGAAAATAATTTCTTAACAGTTTCCAGTCAAATGTTTTACCTACTAAACAGTGTGCGATTTTGGATGCATCACAACCAAATATATTGTAAATAAATGTAAAATTAGGATGAATCCTGCTTTTGTGATTAGGGGTGTTCATACCTTGACATTGACCCAGGTTGGTGTAGTCCGTCTGTGGACCGCCCTCTACCATTTGTACA